AGCAATGTCCTCGCAGCATCATCTGACTTCTGGTCCCATGAATTAGGGTGACAGTGAGTGACGAAGCCTGGCAGTGCCGCAGTCTGGCTGGGCACAAAATCACGAGCCACTCAAGCAGGAACAAACTTTATTTCCAAAACTCCCGCGAATGCTGCGCACGTGGCCTTCTCCCAGGACACACAACCCCAACCAATGGGAACTCTCCGGTGGTCTGGAGAGAGCTCCAAAGTAGCAGGCCTAGGCAGACAGCAGGGGTCTAATCTCCAATTGAATGCACATCTTAACATAATCATTATCATCTCAATGGCTTGCTGGGGTCACCTTTCAACCAAAAATGCCATGTGTCATTCCTACTTGGCTATGGCTCTCAGCATGGCAGTGGACGGTTGGTTAGCCACCGCCCAGCTCCACTGCTGACCTGAGATGATGTGGGGGTGATCATGGATTCACCTGAAAGCTTTTAAAGTTTGTTGCAGGATACAGCTTTCCAGCTCCCACCCGGACAGACCAAAACAAACCTCCATGCAGTTAGAGTTGGGTCCAAATGTTGGCCCCTCCCGTCAAGGGCCTGTTAGAGTTTCCACAAGACGGGCAACTCCTGCTTGTGAACTGAGGGCACCAGCATGTACCCAGGCTGTGAGGATCGGAGCCCATGCATTTGCAAGTCCTGCTAGGTTTAAGTTGTCTGAGTACCTTGTTTTTATGCAGGGGAGGGGCGTATTAATAATTATTATTTTTTACACAGGGAGCCCTTTTTCCTATCTAATGGGAAGGTGACTGCTATCAACACTTTCTAACTTTTCATTAAGAAGCGTAGGTTTTAAGACAATAACAGGAAAGAAAGAACCTATTCTCTCTGTGCCAGCCTCCGTCCAGTTTAGAACAAAATGTTATTCATGGCCAGGCTCCACCTTGCTGAGGAGGGCCCGGTGTCTGTCTTTGCGAACACAGTCCTTCTGACAAATCCATGGAAAACCACGTGTTAACAACATGGAGACCCCAGAGAGGTGACTGGCTTAGAAGGAATGTGGCATTTGTACTTGATGGCAGGGGGCTGGTGTGCCTCTCTCAGTCATGGGTTTACCCTTCTCAGATTAATTAAAATAATCTGCACAGAGGATTCATCCCAGCTCTTGGTACTCTGGAGGCCCACCCAAAACAGGAGCTGTGGTTATCACCCCATTCCCTGGGATGGACTCCTGTTCCTTGGATCCCTGATGTCTGAATCCCACCAACTCTGGGTCTGGAAGTTGTTCCCAGGCTCTGCCCTGCCTCCAGCCCCTTGGGGATGCTCTGGGAGGGCCCAGTGTTAAACCAGACTGGGGCAGAGCAGAAACAGCCTTGGCTTTGGAGGGGAGGATTTCCCATGCCAACTTTTTATCGGATGGGAAGGGCTGAGTTGAGAGGCAGCAGCAGGGGATAGCACAAATAAATACAGAAAATCCTCTCCAGGGGCCGCCATTGTCCTGAGCACAATGGCGGCCCCAGAGAACATTTTCATCCCGTTGACATTGGAAAGTAAAATAAATGTGGTCATACTATACCCTCCTCCACAGCCCTGGCTGGCTAGGGCCTACCCTCAGCTCTGCAGGAGACAAAGGACACATTTTTTCAGAATCCTGGTCTCAGGTGGGAGAGAAGGAAATTTACAACGTGGAAGGTCCTCGGGGCTGGGATCTAGATGTCCTTTGGCCACTGCTCTCCCCAGCCCCCTGTGCTTTCTCAAAGCTGCCAGCCTCTCGCCTCCACCCTTCCTAGTGTTCTCCAGCCTACAATGGACCACGTCCAGCAGGGCAGGGCTGGTGGACACACCCAGGCAGGCTGCTGGACTCTGCAGGGAAGAGGAGTCCCTTTCCAGCAATGGGCAGGAGGGGCTGAGTGAGACTGGTAGCTTTTTTGAGTTGAGAACATGTCCCCAAATACCCTATGGACTGGCAGCTCTCTTTATCTTTGCAGCCTTCAGGTGCTCTGAAGTCACACAATCAGAAGGATCTTTCTGGAACCAATGACATCTCTCATTGGAATGAGTCCCAGCTCCTCTTCAGGTGGTATTTATAAGCATCCTTGGGGTGGGGCAGGGTCCTCCTCACCCAGGAAGCTGGCACCTTCACACACCTCTGGTTCGAGCCATCTGCCACCCTGGCTGGCTATAATGTGTGACACCCAGAAGGCCAGCGTGGTACTAGAGATAGGGTTTGAATCCCAGCTCCCCAATAGCAGGCAGATCTTAGATAGGACACTTAGCCTCTCTAGGTCTGTTCCCTTAATTCTAAAATAGAAGCAATGTAAGGAATCAAGAAAGAAATCACATAGTACGCTTGCTCAGGGCCAGGTAAATAGTAGGTTCTTATTACTTGGCAGCCACTTCATTAATAAAAGCTAATGTCTGAGGACTCATTTTGTATCATGCCAGGTCTTGTTCTATGGGAATTCCATAATAACCTTTTGAGGTAGGTATTATTATTTATTCCTTTTATAGAAATGGAAATTAGGGTTGGGGAAATAAAGCAAGTTGTCATTAGGTATGCAGCTGCTTATTGGTAGAGCTGGAACTTCAGCCCAGACAGTTTGATGCTGAACCCTGCACATAGCTGCTGTGTGATCCTCTCAGTTCTCAGTGCTGTTAGTTGGCATATCTTCAGGGATCTCAATCTTTAGACCATTGCAGGGTGAAGAGGGTGCTGTTATTGAGAATGTAAAGAGGATATAGGCTTGTTTGAATGCTCAGGTACTATGCAAAGATGGCAGATGGGAAAGCTAAGAATGAAAAACTCAAATTCTAAGTTATTTAAAATATAGTATTAGACCTTATCCAAGCACCAGAACTCCGCTCCAGTGTCCAATAGCTTCTAGTAATAAAGCACTTGCCTGCATCTGAACACTCCGTCTTACATCATTTGCCTCGATGCCCCATAACATGACCAGAACAGGTATTCATTCTCAATCTATCTGTTGAAAACACTGAGACTCAGAGAGTTTATGGAGTTTTTCAAGTCTAAGTAACTACTTGCTCTTCATAAAGGTCACTAAAGTTTCTTGAGAAGTTACTATGTGCTGGGTACTGTGCCAAGTGCTCAACATGTTATAATTTAGCAACAATCTTATGATGGGTATTATTTATCATTCAGTCTTCAGAGGAGTAAACAGAGGCTTAGAGATACTAGATGACTGGCGCCAACACACACAGCCAGTAACCTGTGAACATGTTCATAACTGTTCCTTGATGATAGTAGCAGGGCTCATGGGCAGGATGAATGGAACTGGCCCTGGGAGGTTTAGAATGGCAGACATAGTCCTTGTCCCCAGAAGGCCACAGGCAGTGAGATTTGAAGTAAAAACCCATGGGATTCTAAAGGAAGAGGCTGGATACTCCCAGCTCTGCTGCTCACTGGCTGAGTGACCAGGCAGGTTTGATTAGCCCCTGAGCTTTGGTTTCGTCACCACATGGTGGAGCTACCATTCTCTGCCTTACGGGATTGTCCTGAGGGGTATGTTGAGGCTTTGCCTGGGTTAAGGGTTGCCTGGCACTCAACATGGAGATTTCCCTGGAGTCAACTGTAAAGCAGAAACACACGCAGAGCTAACAGTACCAGACGACACTTGCCAAGCACAGAACGTGAGGTTCAACCATAAGCATGCAAAGAATTTGCTGGGGCTGGCTGGGCTGGGCCATCAGACAGGCCCAGGGAAAGGGTGTGAATGTGCGTCGTCTTTGATTTAGGGCCAATGGAGCCCCTGGGAAACTCCCACAGAGCTGATGGGAAACTGGTTTTAAAGAATCAACACTGGCCATGACCTCCTTTCCTTGGGGCCCGATCTTCTCTCCTGGCCACCTCCTTGAAGAGTTGGACACTGTATAGAGGAAATGTCACTGGCTAAGCTGAATGGGTGGGGAGAGGCGTGGTCTGCAGTGGTGAGATTCCGGGCTGGGCCTCAGGGGAGGGAAGTGGTGGGTGGGTAAGGGGTTGGTCATGAACATCCTTAGACTCCCATCAAAGGTGGGTGAGCTTTGCTCTGAGGGAGGGGTAGCCATGAAGTGAGGCAGGAGTCAACTGCCAATAAAAAGGTGGCCACCAAAGCCAAATGCCACAGGTACTCATAATAGGGACTAGAGACAACTCCTGGCGGAGGGGGTTATGGACCAGTGTTGGTGCTGGTGGAAGCAGAGCTGAGTAGAACAATGTTCCTGGCCTGTTTCTAAGGAATAACCAACCTGAGTCCTGCACCCAGGCAAGGGTCTGTGTGAGTGCGGGTGTGACCAGCCCCTGCACAGACTCGACATGTAGGATGAAGGCTATGGCCGAAGCAGGCCATCTTGAGTATGTTCCCGCAAGCTTAAAATCCAATAAACTGAAATCTAGATTTTCTTCATGTCGATTTTGATAATGCGGAGGAATCCAAAGATTTGAAGACGCTTTTCTCCTGGTGCATTTCAGCTTCTTACTAACAAGGCTCACACTCCTGGAAACTCACAAGCTGTTGTCCTGCAGCTTCTACAAATTCTCAGTTTTGTCCCAATGACGAAGCTGTCACCGCTGTGTCACAAACAGAACCAAGCATTGGTTATATTTTCACAGTGTGATAGCTGGACTAAGAATTTTCCCTTCTCTAGTCAGCTTGGTCAATATCTGGATCATTCAACAGACAGAGCTGGAAAAAATGCGTTGAGCTACCTTCCAATTTATGTGATAGAAATGTATTCCCAGGGTTTTGGGTTCATTCTGGTTTTGTTTTGGTTCTTGGAAGTCAGAATGGTATTTTTTTTTTTTTTTTTTTTGGTACCAGGGATGGAATGTAGGGGCACTTCCCACTGAGCCCATCTCCAGCCCTGTTATTTATTTATTTATTTATTTTTGAGACAGGGTCTTGCTAAGTTGCTGAGGCTGCCTTTTAACTTGCCATCCTCCTGCCTCAGCCTCCTGAGCCACTGGGATTACAGGTGTACGCCACTGAACCCGGAGAAGGAAACCTGGGAGCAAGAAATGAAAGCACAGAGGCACTTAGGAAGGAAGCACACGGCTTTATTCACGAGCTGTGGTACAGCAGGATGCGGGGTGGAGTGGCGAGGGAGCGTGGAAGTGCTGCTCGCAACAGGAGCATGGAGCAGGTGGGGACTGCGCAGCTCATCAACACGGGACAGGCCAGCCCCCCTCCTGTGCACACAAGCACGAGGTACTCGGGTGCACACGCACACCCACCTCACTTTCACGGGGAACACAACACAGCATCTCAAGACGTTCCTTCTAAACATCTGCTTTTGTATTTCCGAAAGGAGAGGGAAGACAGGAAGAGCTGATGCCTTTCACCAGTTGATAAAAAGCCACAAACCCAGCTTAAAATGAAGAACCTTGAGAGCCTCTATGCAGGGCCCTCAGTAACACACGGACACAACTCACATTTATCACAAGACTGTATACACGCCAAACCCCCAAAGAACACCAGTCTGTGGACGACTATCTCCCTCCATAAGGGACAGAGACATAGCTAGCCAGGAGAGGGTGCGTTTCCACCCCTTCAGAATGGTAACGCCCTATCCTTCCACCTTCCATCAGAGGGCTCAGGAAGTTATTCATGGGCACTCTGCTCTTCCAAGAGGTGTGGGAGAATTCTGTTTGATGATCACAACCACCATTCAGTTATACGAAGCTGCAGAAAACTTTGAATTTTATTGTGCACACATTCACTGCTTAGAAAGTTTCCATTTAAACTGACAAACACCCTCTTTCTTTTTGGGTTTACCATCAATTAATAATCTATATGCTGAACACATCCATTACCATCTCTCTCTGCTTACTGGGCAGCAAATGGAAGGATAATGACTTTTTTTTTTTTTTTAATGCCAAAGTATAGCTTTCTCTTTCTCCCATCACAGGGTTGTTGGGGAATCTACTTAGTGCACATTGTCATTGTTAGATGGTATCATTGCAAATCTCAAGCCCTAAGTGATCTTTTTTCTGGAAGGTTCTTCCAAAGGGAGCCTGAAAGAGCAAGTTTAAAGGTATACCAACACTTGGTTCATCAGAAGAAGAATAACTTTAAAAATAAAATAAAATCAGGGCTGGCAATATGAAGTACAGATTAAATAGCTACCAGAAATACAAATGAAGTGATTTATAAATCTGTGCTTGCTTCAGAGGACACAGAAGGGTTGATGGGACAGAGTTCATTCCCTTCCACCATCTTTCAGGACAATCAGAAGCAGGGATCTGTTAGGGCACAACCTGGAACTGTCCCTGCCCCTGCCGCACGCCCCAGAACCACACCAAATCTGCTGTACACAATCGTTAGAGAGACTTACTTAGTCGAGAGTGGTTAATTTAAACTCTTTTAAATTTGCGAAAGCACATATATTTTATATCATCATCTCAGAAGCAATTCTTAGGAAAAGATGTCTGCTTCAAAGTGTAAAAATATTAGGTGAGAGTTTTAGAAATGTTACCAGCTGGGCTTTCCCAGGCTGAGATGGAGGAGACCAAGGTTGAAAACAGAACTACAACAGCCTGTGCTTCAGAAGAGGAGCCTCAGCTGGGAGGCCCTGGATTTCGGGTCAGGGGAGAACAGAGAGTACAGGTAGAAAATCACCCCCATCCCTGCACCTTGATACTCATTAATTCTAGTTTCTCTCTCTGAGATTTCAGAGAACAGGCAGCTTATGTTTAGTTATTGAAGAAGTCACGTTAAAAACATTTAATAACAAACCCCAAACCAAAATGGAGATGCATGGCTAGCTGTATATGTTTCCAACTGCTCTTCAAATCTCCTAATAAATCACACAGGAAGACTTTGTGATGGCCTGAGCTCTCTGGAAGAAATTTTAAAGGAAGCACTGACTCATATTGTCATAGAGACCTCTTCTACTTCGTGCAATCAGTATGCGCTTCAAAGTCACAAGTCAAATGCTCAAAAAAGTAGCCCTTAAGATATGCACCAAGCTTGCCAGGTATATAATTCCTTTTCTAGAGATGAACTTTGTGTTAGCAGTTGGAATTTTCCCGTGCGGTCCAGCACAGGGTTAAATGGAGAACATCCATCTATTGTCTGTGTCCTGGACACTTCAAGATCAGGCATGCTGCACCCAGTTTAACAAAAATGGATAAGGCATTGTAGCCCTCACAGCAGATCTGGCAGTTAGAACTAGGCTGCCCCCAAGCCATCTTTCCATCTGGAACCTTCTGCTAGGGAATGGTGTAGAGGAGCTACTCCAAGGGTTTCTAGTAGCCAAGGACAGGCAAGAGGCTACTGTTATTTTCTAGTAATTTATCTTTGAAGGGTACACTTTAAGTGAATTAGTATGCTTGGTATGGAAAGAAGCTTTCTGTTTTTCAAGTTGGATGCAGAACTGAATTCAGCAATTACAAAAGAGCAGGGTGTCACTACTGGGAGCAGAATTTAGGGTTCAGTTTTTTAATTATTGCAACTGTAGGGCCTTTGACTCTGGGTCTCTAACATAAAGAGGAGGAGTCTAATTTCCCTCTTTCATGACAGAGCCAAGCCCTCTTTCATGTGGACCAAGAGATGGAAAATATAGAAAACCACCTAATTGTGCCCAGGTTTCCAAATACCTTTTCTCATACTGGCACTTGACCTGAATGTTCATGAGTGATGACTCATTATCAATGACAGACATGGTGGGTCTTTCATTGACTCCACTAGTCTCTCCACCAGCTGAGTGCTGGGATCCACTTGGTCACCACTGTTAATGACTGGTAGGGAGACACTACAAATATACCACAGTCCCACCCCTATACTCTGCCAGGGCAAAGCAAGAAGCAGGCCAAACATTGTGCTGAGGCTAGGCTCCAATTTGAATTGACAGTTGCAGAGTATGAGGACCCTGGCAGGATGCTTTGAGCTCCAAACCAGCCCTTCCCACCTGCGTGGTCTGCAGCCCCATGAGCTACCTTAGCCTGAGTGCTGGCTTCTAAGCACCAACACTCACCCATGAAGGAGGCAATGTTGAGGGCACAGCTTAGCCTCACTCTTGATCTTTGAGTCACATGCACTTGTACCAAATATCCCTTAGAAGCAGCAGCGCAGTGTGACAAACATTCAAGCAGAAATTAAAAAGCACATGCAGACTCACAGAACTGCCCTGGGTGAGTTAAGCGTGCATCCACGCACAGGCACGCACGTGCACACACTCACACTGAAGTTAACAGTGCCAAACAACAAGGAAAGCTGAGAAGGCCAAATTAAATTGATTGGATGTAATCTACTTTGGAGTTGCAGATATTTAAGAGGAAAACATGCCTTTCCTTAACTTACTACTGAAAAGACCTTAAAAAGCAAAATCAGCATGGGTTTGATTGGATTCAGAGGATGCCAGACGGTTTATAGGGGACACTGAGCATGAGAAGTTGCATTTGGGGCAGAACATGGATTTTTTTGTTTTTGTTTTTGTTTTTGCTAAGAGGGATATGACCCATGGACAAAAATCACCTCGCTGCATGCAACTGGGCCAGTCAGAAGACAATTCTTGTCTTTCCTTTCTTTGTGAAGGTGGAGCCCAGGCCACCTCCTGTCCTTGGTGAGAAGCAAGAATCATTACACTATTTGAAGCAGAAAAAGAGTTCAGGGAGGGTTTCCTTCATTCCTTTTCCTTTTCCTTTCTTTCCTCTTTCAAAAAATTCTAGTAATGGCTAAGCAATTTGCCAACCAGGTCCCAGCAAACAAAGAGAATAAGGAGCTTGTTAAAAATCACTTTTTGCTGATATTCAGACTCGATCAGACCTGCCTGGTTCCCTGATTTCTGTTCTTGCCAGAGCCCAGACAGAGCTTCTAGAGGCTGGCAAGGAAAAGCTGCGCACAACTGCTGCTACCACATGGCCCCGTTCCTCAGACTCCTGCTTAGCACAGTGCTACGTAATAAATATATTCATCCTTTGGAATTAGTACAACTGTTTCTTGCTGTGCGGCATTCTAAGGGCACTTGCTGGCTCTTACCACTACAGTCAGCACTAGGGTGGACAACAGTTAAAGGAAAACAGAAGGAGAAAGAAAGAAGCTCCTGTTGTGGACACGAGGTCATGAGAAAAGGTCACATGTGGACACTACTGCTGATTTTGGAAACATAGAAATTTCTACCCATGGCTGCTTGGCAAGTGTTACTGTGGGTTGGCCCAGTGTTTGGCTCATGGGTGTTGGGACCAGAATTTCCCTTTTTGTCGTGGCTGAGGGATGGCAGTCTATAAATTCTCCAATCAAGTCTGGGCCTTAGTGTAACACGGTAAGCCTTGCCCCGCTGCCAGTCCTTTTTCTAACTGCCGTTTATGTGTGGGACTTAGAAGAGTCTTGCTTTTTTCTTCATGTCGTTGCGTCTCCAAAGAGGTAACTTGTCAAACTCCTGTATGGACATCCCAAAGATTTCCCGAAACACTTCCGGGGCCAAGTGGCGCTGGGAAGAGAGAACAGAGTAGTGGTCAGTCCTGATGGCCACACGGATGGCCTGGAGAGTTGACCTCCAGCTTAAAGATACAGTTGACCCTCCATATCTGTGGGTTCCACATTCCTTGGTTCAGCCAAGTGCAGACCAAAGATATCCATAGAAATTGCCTCTGTACTGAACTGTACTGCATAGACTTTTTTCCTTGCCATTTACCTAAACAATGTGGCATAATGGCCATTTATATTATATTAGGTATTATGTATAAGATGAGGTGATTTAAAGTGTACACAAGGATATGTTAAGATAATATGCAAATTTTACATCATTTCTTAGAAGAGACTTAAGCATCCATGGATATTGGGATCTACTGTCCTCCCTGGAATCAACCCCTTGCAGGTACTGAGGAGCACTGCCATCATTTTGAAGAGTAAGTCTGCCTGATAAAAGAGGGGGTTATCTCTGATGCTCATTTACTAGGCCAGGTGAGTGTCCTTTCCACCAGATGAGGAGCTCCTTGAGTCTTACTGGTCCTGTTATAATCCAGTGTTAAAACAACACTGAGTAGTAATGCAGCACAGGAGGGTGATTTCTGACGGTGAAGGGGACTCCACTTAAGTTCCTTGGGATGTTCAGAAGATACATAGAAAATGGACCACGGCAACAGAAAGCCAGCCAGAAAGAGACTTCCAGGGTGGTCCCTGGGAGCCCTGGGCTTCTTCTTGGCTTATCAATGAGGGGAAGGTGGATACCTGGTCTACCGGGGAGGCCTCCTATCTGCCACCGCTTCCAGAACAGTCCCCTTAGGACACGGGGGCCAGTATTCTCTGAGCCAGCCTGACTTCTTCTACAAAGGCATCGCCTTTTGTCAGGGAGCAGTTACGATTTTTCCTGAGACTGGCAGCCAGAATTTTTTTTTTTAAAAAAAATCATTCAGATGGAAAAGTACAAAGATCAGTCTTCCAGATCTAAGGAGGCCTTGGGCATGTGTACCCAGCTAACCCCTCCACAAGGAATGCAGTAACAGCCACGAAAGACATTTGTCTGGTATAAACCTCCTCCTAGAGAGCTCCTTCCCAGCTCCCAGTGGGCTCAGCCCAGGGTCAGGGGAAGAGGACTATCTGAAGGGGGATGGACACGCCCATTCTGCATTCCCCAGCTCTCATTACAACAGCATCCAATTTCCAAAGAAAATGACTAAAATCATACTGTGTCTCAAGGGTTGTTTCAAATGTCATTCCAGGCATTTTAAAAATACTGATCTAAGTATAGATACATTTAAATATAAGGGCTGTACTACTGTCCTCCCTGATGCCAGGGAATGCCAGATTTAGATTGGGCACCAGAAACCCAAAACATCCTTCTCAATCCGTCATATGTATTTTGAGGGCAGGGGTCAAGTCTGGGTTATTGTTGTACCTCCAGGAGTCTAATAGAGAGCTCAGTACATACTAGAACAATGGATACAGCCCTGCAAACTTGCTTCTTGTGGTTTTTACCTCATTAGTGATTCTCTGAGATTTTAGTTACCTCTTAGTTCTACCTACAATATGAGATTGATCTTTACGATTTTTCGTTTTCACTGAAAAAAATAAAACATTTCTCTGGGGACACTGCAGGGTGTAGTGGGGGGTTGTATAGGGATCTGCAACTGGGTCTGGATTTTTTTTTTTTTTTTTTTTTTTACCTCCAGCCGGGTTCTGTCCACATCTCTTAGGATTTTGTTGCGCCCTCTGTTGGTCACCATGAGCATTTCATATGGAAATATCTGAGAAGGAAAGAAAATCACCTCCTAATATACTGCTGTTCATTTTATTAACAAGCAGAATCTACTTAAAATCCAACACTACCAAGACAGAGCTTCTGAGAGATAATCATGTCAGAGTACAAGATGTTCATCTCTCAAGACCAGCAGGAGCTCCAGAGAACAGGGACAGGGACATAAATCTCCATCAATGCCTCACAGAGCACTGTGCCTTGGGAGGGCTTGATTGGGTACATGTATACCAACTTACTCTGAGTGGGGGATGAAGGTAAAAGTTTGAGAAAAATAGAAATTTCAGGTATATATGCTGGCTTTTATGTAGTTCTGTGAGATGGCTGGGTTCAGCAATCTTGGTCCATAACTATCTCACGAATCCACAGAGCCAGGCAGGCCCAGAAGCAATGTTCTGGCAATGGACCCATTGAAATAAGCCCAGTTAAGGCTGACAGTGGGCACAAGCCCTTGGTTACCTCTGGAGGTACAGAATGTTCTGAAGCTAGAGCGACCAGTCATCCCAAGAGTGGCCAAGGAAAAGAAGTGCTGGTATCTCACTAAGAACACAGAGTTCCAACTGCAGTAAGGGCTTAAACCTGTGGACTTATTGCAGCCAAAGTGAAAAGAATGTGTTTTCTGACAGCTCTCCTAGATGCACAAGTCTAGAACAAAGTGGGCCTCGCACTCCGAAAAGGGTGGAAAAATAGGAAACCAAATCTTTGTAGGGCCATGTCATCCCTGCAAGAGACAAAAGAGAAGAGCTGTACTTGCCTTTGGTTCCAACATGTTGGGCATGGACACGCCCCGGTCCATTCTCATTGCAGGCATGTGGCCATCCGGGAGGGTCTGCAGCAGAAATGCTGGTTCAAGGATGAGCACAGAATAGGGGCGCTCAAGGGAGGACTCTGTGGGCTCCCAAACTTCCCGGTTGGGTCTCGTATAACTATTTTATAGATGTGTCATATTCCTTATCATGTATTTTTCAAAACGAGATTCTTATTGAACAAGAAGCAGGAATCTCTTCTGAGATCCAGTTTCAGAAAGATCCTGGCTTAATAACTATGGACTAATTTCTCAGTTTGGGCTTAGTTTTCCTTGTATTTTTCCTTATCTTTGCTCAGATGTTCCAGGCTAGGGGTGTAGCTCAGTGGTAGAGAGTCTGCCTGGCATGCATGAGGCTCTGGGTTCAATCCCCAGGACCACCGTTCTCCACTTAAAAAAAAAAAAAAAGGTTCCAGAAAAAGAGGAATAGTTTGAGAGCAAACTATTCCTTTCTGTTGCTCAAGACCTGAGTTTCTTTCTGTTACAATTATAACTAAAAGAAAAAAACACTGCACATGAGTTGACCCTTGATGTTGGTCCGCTTTCAACCTGGAGAGACTCTCCTAAGCCAGAGCAAGAGAGTCTTTCCACACCTGACTTGGCTCATGCTATGTCCCCATGGCCTGCAGGGACAGCTTGACCTGGGCACCAGATGTGCCTATGCTTCATAGCTGTGGAGGAATGACAAATCAACTACAGTATGTATCTTCTTAGCAGAAATCATCACCCTGGGGCAAACAGCCTGGGTTAGAAAATGGCTCTATGGTGCTGGTGTGGCCAATTTAAGGAAGCAGAGTGGTCCATACCTGGTAATCTGAAAAGGAAAGGAAAGGAAAATATCACGAAAAGACCTGGAAAAACGTGGAGCCATTCCCAGAGAGACTGTCTTCTACTACAATTCCTAAAATAGTCCCCAGGAACCATGTTGTTTCCCTGCTCCCAGTCTGTGCCCATGCTGTACCGCAGGCTTCCAAGAAGCCAGAAAATGCCAACCCCAGCTTTAGGAATCAGGTAAAGCATCCTTCTTTTCTCTTTCCTTGCCATATGCATTTTGAGGGCAGGGGCTGTGTCTCCCTTGTTGCTGCATCTCCAGGAAGTGAACAGAGTGCTCAGCACCCAGAGGGAAATGCGTGGATTCCCCTTAGCTGGATTTCAGTAGAGATCCTCTAGATTTTAGCACTTGCTCTGCTGGCTCACAGAAGAGAGCTGTGATCCTACTGGAGTGAAACCCAGCACAAAGGCATGCAGTGCCTGGAGACAGGGCACAGTCTCAAGTGAACCTTGACCACCTGGGAAGAGGCTGCCCTGTCAGCCTGGCCATGAGAGCCTCACCTCGCACTCCCCCGCTGACATCTCCGTAGCTGTCATACTGAGCAAAGTCTGTGGAAACAGGCTGGAATGAGGGGGAAAAAAAAACATCATTAGAAAAACTACACAGTGATCACTTGGAGACAGGTAGAAAGAAAGACAGGATTTACAAAATCCTAAGAACCCTTCCCAGGCTCATTTCCTGGACCCTCATTAATCTTCTCTCCTATTTATTCCTTTACAACTGTAAAATCTTTGCTGTGGTACTTCTATTGCCACTGCTCAGCAGGCCCCTGGTAAGCAAATATCTCTTAAATACATTTCCCTGTGTAGTTACAGAAATACCATTGCTCTTTGGCTTGTGAGGAGGACAATTTCAAGAAACTTTCCGTTCATAGCAGAAATAACAACTCAAAGCCAGGTGCGGTGGCCCAGGCCAATAATTCCAGTGTCTCAGGAAGCTGAGACAGGAGGATCTCGAATTCAAAGCCAGCCTCAGCAATTTAATGAGGCCCTGTCTCAAAGTAAAAATAAAAAGAGCTAGGGGTGTGGTTAAGCAACCTTGGGTTCAATCCCTAGTAAAACAAAACAAAACAAAACAAAACAAAACTCAATTACTTTTTGCTGCACTAGACTAATCTAGTCTCAAGTTTCCATAGGCCATTCATTTATTTAAAGCCAATTTCTCCTCTCAAAAGAAATATTTTCACTTTGCCTTTCACTTTTTGTGATTTACAAGGTGACCAAGGAGGTTACAGTTTTCATTATAATCCAACATTCGGTCAAGAGTCAGATGTAGGGCTGGGGCTCAGTGGTAGAGCGATGTGAGGCCCTGGGTTCAATCCTCAGCACCACATAAAAATAAATAAATAAATAAATAAAAGTATTGTATCCAACTATAACTTAAAAAAAGGGTCAGATGTAGTCGAACAACAAGCCTGAACTTCAGCTAGGACTGAAGAGGGAATGCACAAAGACATAACCAATAGAAGAGAAATCTTACCCGGTGAAGCCCGTTTTTTCCATAGCCAGGAAGAGATGAGGTTTTAGATGATGGAGCATAGGAAGCTGAGTGAGAAAAAGGTCAAAGGCCATTGTTAGGAAAGCAGAAATCTAGTTCTTTAATGACCTTGATAGTGTATCGCTTGCTTTGCAGAAGAGGAGATTTAGCAAAAACAATTTGAATGATATTGGGCTCAAATGATCACAAAATGCCACCATATTTGAGGGCCCAGGGAATAGTATCATAACAGTGACACTATTACGGAAGGGCAGGGAAAGAAAGCCAGCAGGACCAAGGGAGCTGTGCTTCCTAAAATTCTGGCCCCCATCTAAGTGCCTGACTGAATTTATCTCCTTGTATCCTCGGTACCCTAATAATACGATTATTATTTCCATTTTACAAAAGCAGAAATAGGAGTTAAGAGAAGTATCCTGCCAACGGTCACTCAACTCATGTCAGCTGAACGAGGATTCAAACCCAGGGATGACTGAACACATGGGCCCCCTGTCCCAGTGACATGGCAGCAGTAACTGGCCTGGAAACCAACCATTTGAAGTTCTACTGGCTGAGCACAGCTGGGCTCCTGGGAGGCCTGGCCTAGTCCTGGTCTAGGTCTATCCCATGTGTTAAGGGCATGGAAGGCAAATAGGCTGCTGAATTTGATTTCTGGTTCAGCAACTTAACACGTCCACATCTTTGAATGTGTCATCACATTTTTTTGAGCTCTTCATTTTTTAATCTATGGAGATATGGTATTATGTATTCATATAGAACGGAATCTCAGAACTAGAAGGAGCTCTGGAGATCACCATAAGTGGTTCTGCCTCTTGCACAATTGGCCAGGCAGGCTCTGGCTCTCAGCTCATGCTAGGGAGGGTCTGCCACTCACCTGAGTGGACAGGAGAATCGTAGCGGCTGGCTAACAAGGATGCTCTCTCCCGGCTCTCCTTCTCCATCTCTTCCTTCAGTATCAACTGCCCTAGGCCTGAATTAAGCTATGCACAGGAAAAAACAAAAACAAAAAGGAAAATGAAAGCAAAGTCTGCGATTACTTTCATGGAACTAGTTTCCTTCCAGAAGGTCTTGCAAGAAGTTCCTGACCCTAGGGGGGCTGGTTGCAGGTAGGTCCAGTGCCTGGTAATTCATCAAAAAGCAGGACAGGTTCTGGATTCTGCACCTCTCTTAGCCTTTCCAATGTCAGGGGAATGTCCCTGTGCCAGGTTCTGTCAGAAAGCTGCCTCCTTCTTTTGCCCTCCCCAATGTGTCAGTGGGTGACCTCAGCAGGCATATGTGAGTGTGTGGTGGACTTTTGATGTGGGAAGAGGAAATTGGGAATGAATCCTTAAAAAAATTGCACTGATTTAAAATCAAAACAAAAAATAAGTATGTGTTCATTGTACATATTTTGAAAAATCTGGAAGAATGAACCTATAATCTGACACCATTTCTAACTTCTATTTACCCTAATCTATTATTTTTCTATACATGTTTTATATAAAACTAAGATTATACTCTGTGTTCTTTCCCCCATATAATTAATGTGCTTTTCTCATCTCTTTGGAAAACATCATTTCAAGGGATGCATTATTGGTGGGAGAGTTTATAATCAGACATCCTTCTGGTTTGCGGTAGGCCCTTGCTAGAGGAAGGAGGACAATGGGCACCTTTTGGTGACTGTCTCCTTGATTCCTTTTCTCCTGGTCTAGATATGCATAAGATCCTCCAAGTTCTGAGGGGAAACTTGGAGAAATATTCAATCCTAAGGGAATTCTTCCAGAAGAGCCTGCAGGCCCCAGATGTACATCGCCTCCACCTACCTGGCCCTCCTGCACCCTCTGCACATGCACCACATGCCCACTCACACAGTCACACTCTCCAACCATTCTACAACCCTCTGACCTCCAGCCTCAATGTCATCACCTCTAAAGGCAAGTGCAAAGTCCTTATTAAAGTTCATGCTTGTCATGTCTCGCTGGACTGTAAGCCTCAAGGGGCTGGGACCACCTCTTGCCTGTCTTAGTGGCTTGTACAGAGTAGTGATGTAAAAAGTTACAGATTTTATTGAATTAGAATCGAAGACAGCTACAAGGTAGTTTAAGGACAAACCTTCATTAACTGCTCTTCTTGAAGCTGCCGGCGTCTCAGGAGTTCCTCCTCATCTTCCTCTCTGCCACTAGATCTGCGTCTCATGTCAGTTCCTAATTCCACAGCAAAGACAACTTCTCACATCAGCCCCGTGACAAGGGAATCCTAACGGACTAGTCCATCTGTGTTCAATTTGTAGGCTGGCAAGCTCTGAGTGGTTGGTCCTTCACAAGTCGAAGTGAACCAGACAGGGGGGAAAGGCACCCACCACCAATCCAGCTCGCCCAGGTGGTTTCTCTAAGAAGGTGGGCCCCTTTGGCAAGCTGGTTCAATGTACTAGTGACTCCCTGCAATTCTCTGCTCAATTAGAACTGGTTTGCCACCTCCCTGAACCTGTCATCAGATTAACTATGGGTCAGGGCTCCATATAGTGAATGGGAGGGGCATCCCCAGCTAATGTCCCTGAGGTCAATTTTTCAAATAGAGAGGAATCTGAATTTATCCACATACCAACAAATCCATAAGATGGTTTCTGTCTTGTGACAAGTTTAAAAATCTTGTGGTTTTCTCTTTCTCTGAAGATTTAGACTTTTCAGAATACTATCATTGCCACCTACACTTAGTAAATCAATTAAAAAGCATATTTGTTTGTGTCTTTTAAGGAATGGGTTTCCTACTTTCTTTTTTATTATACTTTTAAAAATGACTATAAAAGAATTTTCTACCTGGCTGGGGTTGTGACTCAGCGGTAGTGCACTCGCCTAGCACGTGTGGGGCTCTGGGTTCGATTTTCAGCACCACATAAAAATGGGTAGACAAAATAAAGGAATTTCATCCAACTACAACTAAAAAATAAATATTTTTTAAAAAGAATTTTATACCAATAGTTATGTAAAAGCAGTATTAATAAAGCTAAAAATTACTGCGTGAATTTTTTAAAAATTGTGAACGGTTTTTACATTTCTTGGAATAAGGGGAGACAAGGAATGGAAAGGAGGAATCTGTCTGAATGGGTGGAAGATGAAGATAACTGTTGTTTTCCCTAAATTACTTGGATTAATCTGGCTGTGGGAGGAAACAGGAAAGTTTGCTAATCTAATCAAAATAAACTTCAACTAATAGTCTCAGTTTTCATCATTCTGATTAATGGACCAGACATTTTCCTCATCTTGGAACCCAAAGGAACTTTAAACTATGTAGTGATGATAGTTTCAACAATAAAAATTAAATTCTCCTTTTCCGCAAAAGCTTAGCTGCTTCCAAGTCCCTGCTCAGCAATACAACTGTGGGGGCACAAGGCCCCCACAGACTTCCAAAAGGCACAGATTGACACATTCCTAGTTCTTAAAATCATAAATGTCAATGTCAATTTTCTCTCTTTAGTGTATTCTAATAAAAACTAAGAGATCCAACTTTATAAAAATTAAACAAATCTCATTAACATAATCATAGAATACTTATGAATGATGAACTAAGTAGATTTTCCCTTCAACTATTTCTATAAATATTAGTTGTTTTAAAATCACTTTATTGCCTATAAAAATCATTCCTCAATTAACTTGATAAAAATAACCTGATGCAGAAGATTAGGAAATTTTGGAAAATTGAAGGCCTTTCAGGTTGTCAATAGAAATGTGATAAGCTATAGTCATGCCTTTGTAAGGCTGACTCACTGGATTTTCAGTATTTGCTTCTGTGCTTGTTAATATCCCTTTCAGGGCTGAGTGATTTCACTATGACAAAACAGTAAAGACACAGACACAATTGGAAAGCATAAAGAAAAGGATGAAACAACTCCAAAATGACATTTTAGCACAGGATCATGGAGATGACAGATGTAAAGTTACATCCCCTCACTTGCTATTTCGGAAAATCTTCTACTCTGTAATAGCTCTCCTTAGCAATGGAGAACATGATCTTGCAGGAACGTTAAAGTGCTTCGGTGTTAAGGTTGCTGGTTAAGAGAACTATAACTATAATCCAGATAAAGTCTAAAACAAATGTAACTAAAAGAAGTCATGCTTCCATGGACCCTCAGCAAACCCACCCACTAGACTTTATTTATATAGAACAATGCTTTTGCCATGAAGCTCTGACTCAACTGTGCTTGAAACAGTTGATTTTACAGTGATAACTCCAAGAGTCTGTGCAAACCATCCGTTTTAGACCAGTTCTGGATCTCAGTGGGTTTGGTTAGAGCCATGCTCTGATTGATGTGTTTCTGTAACTGAAGCAACTTGCACACAAACTAATGCCACGTTAGGTCTTTTCACTATTCTGCCTCTTGGCTGTACTTTTCTTAAAGTCTTTAAGTTTGGACACATGTTCTTGTACCTTTCCAAGCATTTCATGGTTAGCTCCCCTCGCAATTTGTCCATTTGACTTAGCTGCATCAGTTGCATACCTACGGCGGCAAGTGAGGGGGGACCAGGCCAGTGGTCTGTCTCAATCTTTGGTATCTCGCTGGGGTCTGGCGCCTGGGCTGCTGGGAACTTGGAAAACTTGATGATATCTTCTGAGGACTTGCTCTGGGCTGCCAAAGCAGCTGCATCTGGATGGGAACCAGGGTTGCTTAGCTACTGGTGTGTAAGGCAGGGGTGGTTCAACCCCACAGACACAGTTTTCTCATTATCAGAAAAAAGTTTCCAGAAAGTTCTATCACCATGACAATTCAACTCATTTCCCTTACTTTATGTTAGAAGCAACGTTTTATTCTATGTCTGTCCTACATCCAAATTCTTGTTCTAGAGCTATGCTATCCAGTGCTAGCTCTATTTAAATCTAAATGAATAAAATTAGGTAAAACCAAAAAAACTAACAAACTTAAAATTCAGTTCCTTGGTTGTACCAGTTGTATTTCAGGTACTCAGTAGTCACCTGTGATTAGTGGCTACTGCACAGGACAGCATAGATATAGAACGTTTTTACCATCATAGAAAGTTCACTCCTAGTATTCTCCAAGAGTAAATAATTATTTTGGAATTAGAAAATTGAATTATTGGAAATTTGAGTTAAAAAATTGAAGTTAAAGAGTTAAAAGCATGACAATAGCATTTTACTGTTGTCACTCATATTTAGAGGGATGGTAGCTTTGGCCAGAAGCCAAAAATATATTGGTCCAGTTCATTTTAATCCTTATATGCTACATATGGGTCCTTGTATCTTGGGAGAAATGGAAATGGAGAATCTACTTCCAGCTTGCAGGAATTTAGCATTGTGATTTATGTATGCCATCCCCACTCACTGTTTTGTTCGAGAGTCTGTATATACAAGTGAGTGAACCAACTTTAAAACAACAAAAGCCAAACTACCAGTGACATTAGCTCAGAGTCCTTAGTGGCTGTGTTTGGAGGAGGATTCACAGGCTGAAAGTACTGAATCTGCCCTGAGTTGGAGCAAAACAAACCAAGTGAAATGGTTGGTCCTGATTCTGGCTAATTTTGCAAACTGGTCTAGGATGTTACTAAACATTTCAAGACACAATTATAATATTTTTCTCCCTCCTGAGTTCATATATTTTAAAATCTGGAAATAACCTTTTGATCTTCAGCTCCAATATCTGCTTCCTTCCACTAACCTTCTGGGTCTCAATTTGCTTACATGATTTGACCAAGGTCACCCAATAATAAGGGGTAGATCTTGGCAGGACATGGAGCAGTGTTTCTCAGAATTTCTAACCTCAGGAGAAAAAAAGAAAATACTTCTGCGTAGAAAACACTACATACTCAACCCTTCCTGTAGACAGACAAAGTGCATTAGCAAAGGAAAGACCTAAGTTCTGCATCACACAAAAAGAGTGTGTGACTTAATTTAGATCCAGCCTTTCCCCAAAACATCAGGGCACAGACTGCAGTTGGGGCATGACATCTATTCCTTTGGCACTGAACAGTTGGCTGTCCTTTCTTTGACAAGTGCCACTGTGGCCATACTACTATTAATTACAATAGACTGAAAGCAAAGACTTTAAAGTCAGTATTGAAGGAAATCAATCGATTCCTTCCAAATAAAGGCTCACATTATACAATCTCCTTAAATCCTAATTATTTTTGTTCCAAGAGACAGAGTCTAAATATTTTAATAATTTTTTTTAAAAAAGTCTCAACTGATAAGTCAAACTCTGGGAATCTTATTCTTAAATTAAAACAAAAAAGCATGACTTCAAACAGTACTTACTCATTAGAATTGGTGAAGTCAGTAGTTAAACATTCACATGTTAATGAGTGTGTGGGAAGACATTAAACCATAAAAAACAAAAACAAAAACAATGTTAACAAACTTAAAAGGCAAGCACATGATGCAAAACCTTGAAAAATAACGAGAAAAAAAAAACATAACTCTAGAACCGTTCCAATACACACGGTCTTTTTTATCCCAAAATTTTGGCCTAATATTTTTTCTTAGTGTATTTTCAATTTTGCCTTTCATAGCATCCTAATTCTTACTAACTTATTAATGGTAACTGGATTCTAAAGTCAGCCTTCAAATTTCCAGGCACAACTTCTGTAAAATTTTCTGAAATCATTGGCAGTTTTGTCTATTATCTATCTCTCGATTCACAAAAATTTCTGGCAGATAAATCCATAGAGACCTAACAACAATGGACAAAATGTGATTTACAGAAAGTAATGTGACTTCTGGGATTAAAAAATAGCTGTATCTCAGAACAGGAAAACGCAATTATAAATCCACTTTAGTAATTCTTTGTTTGCAGGAATGTCAAAGACAAACTGATTTAACTCAGAGGTCCTTAGAGATAAGAAAACTGAAGCACAGGGGGTGGCATGATATCACAGAGCCATGTAGGCAGGAGATGGCACAAGGATTACCACCAGTCAGCTTGTGCCCCATCCATTGCATGGCAAGACATTGGCACACCTCAGAAGAGGCAGGGGACTGGAATAACTAAGTCCATGTAGGCTTAGCCAAATTAATTTTTCTAAGTGTCTCTTTTTCATTAGTTTTAATTAGTCAAACTGCTTGCAAACTCATTAAAATTATTTTAAGGTTTGGTTACATTATCTGATGCAAAAAAAAGTCTTGTTAGGCTGCTCGTGGGCCCTTGTGACCAGTACTTTCCCTTCCCTATGAATGGAATAATACATGGCCCGATGGGCTCAGAAATAGGGGGGACACTTCCTGATCCAGCCAAGTATTCTCCATCCAGGGAAGTCAGTTTCACAGCATTTACACATCTTATCAGACCTAAAATCCATCATAATATACTGGATGCCCCAGTTTGATTCTCAAAAGCAGCAGCAATTAAGCCTTTCAGAAGACAGCAAAGAGGAGACAGCAGACTCTGCTACTTAAACTATGCGGAGGAAAGCGAGTTTTACCATGCTGTTTGTAGATGGGTGGTTTTCGGTAAATGTTGATCCCTTGATCTGTGAAAATGAAAAGCAAAGGTGTGTGATTATGGGAACCAGTTCAGTGATGGGAAAAACAAATCAACCAAGGGGCAAACCAAACTGAAGACTCCTGAACAAAAATAACCCAGAAGGCTAACGTTTGTATTACAAAGATTGCATTCTTTGGAAGAAAAGATTACAGAAATGAGTGAATTACTGTAGAAAAGTGATCTGGAAGCCTTTGTAATACATCTTAGCATATTGAGAGATGTAACTTATTCATGAGCCATTTATTTCAAATACATACTTCACTGAAAGTGGAATTAAAACAGGAAGAAACACAAGCAGTGGAAGCACTCGGATGGTGGGGAAGACATAACCAGTTTGGGGGGAAAGCCCCAAATTGCTACTGTCTAGAAATTGAGCTCCCAGTGGATACCAGTGGCTCAATTTACTTTTTCAATTAATGAGTGGAACAGTGAAAAGCAATGTAGAACAATCAAGAGTATTTTTTTTTTTAAACATAAACACATTTTCTATGTGCAAGGCTAGCTTGGTGAGTTGATGGGATGCTCAAAAGAATCCTAATTTTTATAGGCCAAATTTTTTTAAAAAGGAAAAAAGAAAAATAAAGGAGATACTAAACACTACTCATGTGTTCATATAGGACCCCATTTGATTATGCCACCATTTCACTTTAGCTGCAAATATTCAGGAAATTTGAAAAAGGTTTCTTTTGGACACTGTATCTTGGCGGGGCATTCTTCATGAATTAATTAGCCAAACTAATTTTCTTAGGTGGCTCTTTTCTATTGGCCTTAGTCAAACTAATGGCAAGTCATTAAAATTATTTTAGAGTTTTATTAAATTATTCAATGCTTAAAAATAAAGGAAGTCTTGTTAGGATACTGTAGGTTGCTGTGTGGCTGGTACTTCCCCTTTTCTATGAATGGAATGATACATGATTTGATGGGCAGGAAGCTTTCTAATCAAAGTAGGTATTCTCCATCCAGGAAAGTCAAAATCCCAAATGTAGAACAATGTTCTTCAGGATTTCATGAAACTTTTAAAAACGGGCAGTCCTAGCTGAGTGGGCCAATCTCATTGAAGTTTCCTCTGTTTTATTAGGTAAATTTAGAAAGCAAAAGAAAAAAAAAAACTAATATAGATTATAAATATATATTTACTGGGTAACTTACTGAACCTTTTTCAGTAGCTAAAAGGAACAAAACTATATACTGCTGATAGGAAAATACCATTGTGGCCTCTGATGGACAATCCCACCCTTAGGAATTCAGCCAACCCTAAAGAGTAAGATAGGGACAGATTCTGGTCTTTCCAGTTTCTGATGGCAAATTACTACTTGTGCTGGGACAGCCAATGCTTGTGGCTACTGGAGCAGAGCTGGCAGCACCACTCCTAAATTGCAAGATATCTCTGTGGGTTGGGTTATGGGGGTGGCGAAAGACCACCTCCCTGATCCAATGCTACACCTCTCTGAAAAGCCCATGGGGGGAAAAAATCTCCACACTGGAGACAAACAGGAAATATAAAAAGGTATTCTCAAGTGACACTGTGATTCAATCTGGAGGATGAGAAGATATCCAGACTGCTGTCGTGGTAATTTAACAAAGAACCACAGAGTGACATCTTTGAAAGAGTTAAAATTTTTGCAAAACAAAAACAATTCAACCCTTCTTTAAAAAAAAACAAAACAAAAAACCTTGAGGTCTCAGTGGTGAAGTGCCTGCCTGGCATGACTGAGGCCCTGGGTTCAATCCCCAATATCTTTATTTAAAAAAAAATAATAATGATGAACTTGAGAAAAATGGAACCTTCGTTGTGATCCTGGCACTAGGCATATAGAACTTTTGAAAGGCATCTAGGTCGGATCCTGCAATTTAGGATTTGTCAGCTGTGTGCATCCCAATTAACAAGCATGAACAATGGAGACGAGACGAGGTTACGAGTCTACATTCTACACTGTGACAGGACACCGAGACAGACAGTGTCAGCTCCTACCTGGAACATGGAAATGTTTAGGGGCCTGAGCGTAAGTTGGAGTTAGAGGGCGGCTGTCGGGCCGGTAAGGGAGAGGGGAGTTCCGGCCGCTGGACGGCTCATTGCCTCCAATGAGAAGAATGGAGAAAACAAAATGAGAGAAGGGAGAACAATAAAGAAAACCAAGCAAGCGTAATCAAAATTCAACACAGCAAACTGCAAGGAGGAGAAACAAAGGAAACAGACTCAGTTTATCAAGTTGCTGGCAAAGGTGGTGTCAGGTTTAGTTTCTCAAAGGGGAGGCTGAGTTCACGCGGACCCAGGTGGAAAGCGGTTAGCGGTCAATGCGTCATTCCAATGGCATGCAGGTGAAGGCTGTGAGCCGGCAGCAAACTGATCAGATGGCAAGGGCACTGGGCGGAATGGAAAGTCACTTGCTACTGATTCCGGATCAGTTGCCAGATGGGTAAATCCCAAGTACCAGAGTGGTGGGATATGCAATCCCCCCCGCACCGGAGGTACAGCTGCTTCCAAGCATGGTGGCAGAGGCTGGCCATTGGAATGCATTTCTCTGAACTGAGGACCAAGTCTGGAAGCCCGAGCGGTTACCCAGGCTTTCCCCTTAGGAACAGCAAAACAGCTTCATTGCAGCATATGTTTCTGTTTTCCTCACTTTGAAATACACAAATGGAGTCAGATCCCTTCCTGCCAGGTGCTTGGGGACCACTGATATCTCTCTACCAGGCTAATGTTTCAATCACTAACACATTTACCGAACACCCATTCTAACCGGGCACTGGACTACTGCTGAGGACAAACAGGTGAATGAGACATAGTCCTTGCCTCCAAGGCCTCAGGGTCTACCTACTGAGGCTGACTGAAAAACATTTGTGTGTGTATGGGTGTGTGTGCATGTATGTATATGCACATATGTATACATATATGTACATGTACATGTTTACTCAGAGGTGCAAGAAAGGTGCTAGGAAATGAAATGCAGATGTCATCGATTCTTCAGGAAAGGTCCCTTGTGTTGGGCATCAAAAAGGAAGTTCTCAGGTGAGTGGGAAGGCCCATATTCTGAAGAGCTGGGACATCATAAGCAGGGACTGTGATATGTGGAAGCTACAAGACTGGTCAGTGTTCTTCAAAGCCGTATCTTGGGCATGGCTGGAGTGGAGGGATGCAGCTTGGCTGCAAAAGTCCCAAGTGCCACTTGGACCATCACCCCTTCTGATCACAGGGGAGAACTGCTTGTATGAATAGAATGCGTAAAATCAGAAAGAGATTAGCTACTACCCTGACCCCATCTATAGACAAATATCTTGTCCCAAGAATACACCAGAAGATGTAGGGCTATGAAAAGTTAATGAATTATTTATGTAATTACTTTTATTATTGATTTTAAAGGGTTCTTTATATATTCTAGATACAAGTCCCTTATCAGACATTTGCACATCTTTTCCCATTCTCTAAGTTGTCTTTTTTGATAGTGCTCTTTGAAGCATAAAGTTTTAAATTTTGATGAAGTCCAATTTACTTATCTATTGATGCTATTTTTAAGTAAATTATCAGAAAATAGATATCTAGCCAGTGTTTTCATGTTAAATTGTCCTAAATCTCACTAGAAAAGTGTGAAAGAGTTGCTAGAGTTTTAAAATATGGCAAATAGTTTTTAATTCCTCAATATGGACATTTTTAGGTAACTAGAGACCAGACCTGTATCCAATGGGTAGTAAGATATTCTAAATACGATATCTGGATTTGCTACTGGCTCAGATTTCTATTTGAGGCTATTAGAATCCCAGGTTTTTGAGATTTCAGACTTTTGTCTTTTTCCCCCCCCGACTCATTTTAGCATCCAGTTCCCAATATTATAATGTTGACTTATTTATTTAAGTTAAATATTAGCTCCTAAAAATTATGAAGCTTCATCCCAAACTTCATCTACTAAAAAACTTCATTAAAAGCTAGTGTACTGGGGCTGGGGTTGTGGCTCAAGTGGTAGAGCACTCGCCTAGCATGTGTGAGGCACTGGGTTCGATCCTCAGCACCACATAAAAAAAATAAATTAATAAAATATATTGTGTCCACCTACAAACCAAAAAATAAATTAAAAAAAAAAAAAAAGCTAATATACTGGGGTTGGGATTGTAGATCAGCATTTGCTAGAGAACTTGCCTAGCATGTGCAAGGCCCTGAATTTGATCCTAAGCACCACATAAAAGTAAATAAGTAAAATAAATATATATTGTGTCCATTTACAACTAAAAAAAATTTTTTAAAAAGCTAATGTTACATAACAAATTAGAATAAAAAAAATTTTTTAAAGTGTAACGTCAGAGATATGAAAAAATGTGCTCTATATGTGTAATATGAATTGTAATACACTCTGCTGTCATACATAACAAATTAGGGGGAAAAAAAAGGCTAATGTACTGCTGTGATGGTGCACACCTGTAATCCCAGCTACTCAGATGGCTAAGGTAGGAGAATCACAAGTTCAAGGCCAGCCTGGACAACTTAGCCAGAGTCTGACTCAATGTAAAAAATAAAAAGGGCTGAGGATATACCTCAGGGGTAGAGTGAACCTGGACTCATTCCCAGAACTGCAAAAACAAAAAAAACAAAACTTTTTTTTAAAAAAGCTGATTTACAAACATGGTTTTATTTAATCTCACTCTCCCAAAAAGCAGGAACTGGCTCATATCTGAAAAAAACACATGTGAAAATAGAGGTGGAGGTGAGAGGGAGAGGCAGAGTGTGGCTTGCACCGAGAAGTGAATGCTGTGTTAAACCCATGGCTGAATTAGAACTGGGTCTCCGGTGTCCTCCCAGGGCTCAGCTGATTGTGTAAGTGCTTAACAAGTGTCTGAGAATGGACTGCTGAAGTGGGCAACTCATTCACCCTGCAGCTGTTCACTGGCCTAATTCAGGAGGCACCACTGCAGGGTCAGCCAGCTTATCTCTTTGATCTCTTAAGGAAAGAAAGCCAGAGGCTGTTTTTCAACAGTGGGATCCCAGCAGCACCCCTCTATGACTCTCCCATTACAGTTTATTCCCAATAACTCCAATTTAATCATTCTACTGCAGAAAAATTCTTTAACTCTATAAATATTAGAACATAATTGATAATTGAAAACAAAGTAATTCTTGGGGCTCTTATCAAAAGAAGACACAGAGGGTCTCTACTTTCTGGCTTTATTTTTAAACCTGTCTTTTGAAGACTCTTTCTGGGTCCTGAGCCATACTGCTTTTTTTCTTTAATCCTTTACCTTTAACCCTAGTGTCCTTGTAGGGGAATTTTGTTCTCATAGGTTTGGGTTGTAATACCCAATCAGATGAAATTTCCTTAAATCTGTTTTGATAATTATTAGCCAGTAACATGCACATACAAAGATATCTGCATATGCAGGACACAAAGGTTGAAGGTTATTAGAAATAGGTATTTGTATAAGTATTACAATCTACCAATAAGATCCTCAGCTGACAGGTGCCAGTAGAAGACACCCATCACTTCTTGGGTAAGGTTGAAGACTCCAAGGATCTTGGAGAAGCTGCCTGAACTCCCAGGAAGTGGATTGGGGATGCATGTTGGCAACAGTTGGGTGTAGCTCTTTATTTGTGTGATCTTTAGTAATCATTGATTTCTCAGTTGTTTAGAAAGCACTAGTATAGTCAAGTGTTTATAAGTAATATTAATTTCTGACAAGACCTTCTTAAACACCAGGTAGAGAATGGTTCACCAATATGTTCATCTCAGAGACTGCACAATATAATGTTCAAGTACCACACTGGCTCAACAGGGAATGAGGTCTCTGAATAGACAGTGTTGCCAAATACCAAAATCTGAGCCTTTGAAAGGCATGGAAAACTGGGGGAAGATTTTTTAAAAGCAAAGGAAAAATTCTCTTGATGAGGCCTCTTCCTTTTCTAAAGTAAAAACCTTTTCTTTAAATATTTAATTTCAACCCTACCCTAGCTCATGAAGACCTTACGAGGTTTTGAACTTAGCTCAATACTTGGGCAAAGTGATGTATGAAGCATCAGATGAAATATCATGTTTGAAAGGTATTATTATCATCATAGCCACTCTCATCTGCTAGTTAGAATAATATTGTTTATAAATACTACACTAATATATGTGCCTCTCATATGATAGCACATACATCACATTCAGAGATGATTTGTTCCTTAACTAAGTCCTTGGATTAGGCCATTCTAAGTTTTAATGATATTAGCTATTGCAATGAGAATCTATAACATACACACACACACACACACACACACACACACACACACACACACACCTATTTATATATTGGTATTAACTTTAAGCTTTTTCTTTGTCAGCCTTACAAGCCAATTTTCTAGCCCTTGGTAGATTGTTTGCTGGCAGGATTCTCACTATACTTATGAATCCAAATGCTTTACTCAACTTTGTTCTTCTTTTGGGGACCAGGAAAGCCTGAATGACTAATTCTAAGATAAGGGAATAGATACGGAGGTGCATGATTATGCTGGAACTTGCTAGCACACTGCCTAGCTTTCAGGCCTCCTCATGCTTATATTCCAAAGTATAAATGCACATGTGGAGGGAACCTTCATACTGGCAGCATCTAGAATTCTGTGACAGTTGCAAGATTGCCAATTCCTGCTTAAAACTTTAATAGGAACTTCCTTTCTCCAGTAAGTGTCAATATGTATTTGCATCATAGCAACTTATATCTATGGCAAAGTAGAAAAGATTCCTTTCAAAGAGACTTAATCTATGCAGCTCTCCTGCTCACAAATCCAAATTATACTTCCTGGCCATAGGATGTCATATTTAGCAGTATTTCAAAGGGAGAAAGAAGAGAAACTCAGCAAGTGTTGCACAAACAAAGTCTGAAACAAGTGAAAAATTTTTTTTTCCAGATCTCTAGTCAGGAAGTTGTCCAAATGGCCCAATGATGACATACTAACACAGAATGAGGCTGCAAGGAAGATTGCAGAACAGAAATAAAACCAGATGGATGTTACAGAAAATGGCTGGGGAAGCAGGACACAGTCTGTAACATGCATCTCAGCTTCTCACCCATGCACATGTCCTCAGCTCAGTGAGCTCTGGGGGCTTGGGCCACATGCATCAGAAACAAGGACCAGGAAGTGGACTTGGGCAGCTGCAGGCTGGGCTTCCTGCTGCCAGAGTAGCAAGGGCCCCTTCTGTTTCTGGCAACATGTTCCTGAGATGGACACCCTACCTTTAATCTCACATTCATTTAAAAAATAACTTCCCCATGATCACAAGTTCCAAAATAAAAAGTTAATGTACCCCTGGGGGACATCACCCCATTTGAAAGATCTCTTAGATGCGTTCCTCAAATGGCTGTAAGTTTCCTTCCATCTGAAATTTCCAAGTGCTAGAGAAGCCGTCCATGTAAATCGACACAATAGCTAAGAAATAATTCCTTGGAATAATAAGGATTTAGCCAAATATGTTAGGCTTTTAAAGCGATATTTTTTTTACAAATTCTCCATGTTTTATTTGCTGGGTTAGCAAAAAGCTCATCTGATTTAAAAAATAAGAATATACTGCTGTGTACATATTTTATCGGAAGTATATAAATTGTTTCATGTGAATAAAATATAGGCCTCTATTCAATAAAAAGAAAAATGAGAGAAAGAAGCAGAGATCATTAGATGTTTTTAAAAGTGTAAGTTCAGGGTCACGCTAATTCCTCTTGGTCTAATGCTTTTTATAATTTAGACAACATTTGTGTTGAAAACTTCAAAATCAGACTGAAAACAGAAAAGAATACATCTTTACATTTTTTAACACTGAACCATTTGGGCACACAGAGGTATTATAATTTTGTAATTAAATGATTGAGAACGATTCTTTGTTTTAGCCTCAATAAAGATGCAATTTTCTAGTGGGTCAGGAGGCTGAGGCAGGAAGATCATGAGTTTAAAGCCAGCCTCAGCAACTTAGTGAGGTACTAAGCAACTCAGTGAGACCTGTCTCTAAGTAAAAAATATTTAAAAAGCTAGAGATGCGGCTCACTGGTTAAGCGCCCCTGGGTTCATTCCCCAGTACTGCCCCTCCAAAGAAATGTAATTTTATTTTCTGGTTTTAAAGAGATGAAAAATAAAGGTTTGCTTAAAAATTTTTATTTGCACCTATTTATGTGGAAGCACGTGCACCTAATGGGAACAAGCTCTTCTAGGGATGCAAGGGGCTGGGGTCTGGGCTGGCTGATGCCTGTTCCTAGTATGAGCCCTGGGCTAGTTGCTTAGCCAGGGCCTCTGCTCCATGGTCTTCCCATTGAGATGCCTTCACAGGGAGGCTGTGAAGAGTGAATGGAATGAGGCAGTCAGCAGTGTTACCAGCACCATGCCAACTGCGATGGACCATATACGGGGCACTCCAGCTCATATCTTCCCGAAGAGGGCTTGCATCCTTCCTGATGTATAGACCAGGCACATAACACTCAAATGGGTAAGTACATAACCCGAGGTCACAGAGCCAGCAAGTGAAAGGAGTAAGAGTTAAATCCTGATTCCAGTGCCTCGAGCTTTCCCTCTCTCTACATGACCACTTGGGGACACAGGGTACTGCTAGTCACAGACATTTTGCCATGTGTTATTTAATACACTTTGTGTAACTTTTCAGGGCCAATGAATGAAATACTTTCTATAGAAAGTATCTCTCTGAAAGATGAAACATGCCATAAACAAACTAGGAAATCTACACTTTAATGAATCAAAAATGTATTTTTTCTTGAATACCAGAAATAACCTAAGTCTTAATTTGGCCAAGGGCTGCTTTATTAAACTCTCTTTAAAATACATGCTGATTTCCTTCTGGTTTTATAAACATTTGCTGAAGTATCATCTTGACATATGGATAATAATTTCTCCCCAAAAAACTAATTAGCAATAATAGTTTTGAATAATCTGTCAAAGATTTTTAGAAAGTGCTGTGCCTTCCAAAAAACGTGCTAATGGCAAATGGTGTGTCTTCAGTAAGCATGTCAGCAATATTATTTTCAAAGCATGGAAAATGCTGAAATAGCAAATTTCTAAGATAACTAAGCCTGGTACATCTATACTTTAGGACTCAGTCACTCAGGAATCTAAGTGAGTTAAAAGGAAAAAAAAATAAAAAATAAAACCTTGAGTAGACTGACAATGAAAGTCCAGGAAACTAGAACATTTCTGGTCAATAGATGCATTAGCAACGGGAGCCTTGTTTTTGGACTGTTCTTAGACCCAGAGAAACAATGGAGCTTGCTTCCTCCTCCTCCTCCTCTTCCCTGTGCTATTTTTTCTTGTTAACTTGTTTCAAATCAAGATTACAGAACAAGTTAGCCACTCTGTGGGAGCTCATGCTTAATTTAAATTATGGGTCTCTTCAGGGCTCTCCTCTCCCCCAACGTGTGGAGGGCCCCAGCCCAGGACTCCGCAGAACCACAGCCACAATGAAGAATGGGGAAGATTGGAGGGGGGCGGACAGGAAACAGAAGGCAGAGCCTCTTCTCCATCATGTGGAAAGAAGGACAAATTAAAAGCAAAGGTGCGGAAGAGAGAGAATTACATTGTCACAGATCATGTTATGTTGCCCAAACATGTTAATATAGTTCAGTGGCTTATCCCTAGAAAATACGACTTTTAGACATTTGTTACTACACACTATTGGGTTTCGCTGAGATGTATCACATGTTGAACCCAGGAAAATACCCCAAGTATATATTATATTTTGCTTTTGATGCGTACAAAAACAAAATAATAATATACATGTTTTTTCTAAGTGGCAGATGACGAACCATACAGTCTTAAATATACTTCCTGTTTCTTCATCTAGAGCCCTTAGAAATGACACAGCTCTCCAAATGCAAGCTGCTGTGCCAGTTCTAAGGCCACCGTTGGGTACCGTCATGACACACGCAGGCATGCTGGAGGGTCAGAAGCTTGGTGGCTGCTCTAACTCTTGGAGATGTAGCTTATTAGCCTTGCCGGGGTGCTAATAAATCTCCACTACGCAGCACAGGTGGCCCTGCCGAGGCCTGCCTCCTTACCTTTGACATGGGGAAGGAAGTGGTGTCGGAAGGGGGGGTTGGGGCGGGAGTCGCTGTGGGTGGAGCTGAAACTGCTGGTGCGCGGGTGGGACACCCTCTGCACACCAGGAGACAAAAGCTCTGTGCGGCAGGGAATCGGACAGGGCCGAGGAAACAGAAAAGAAGAACAGAAATTAACACAGGAGCAGGGAAAGTGGCACTGTTCCAACGGGGGACAAGAGTGTTAACCAGGAGTCTGAAAAGGAGGAAGGAAGACGAGTTACGAATGCACCTGCAGAGGGTTAGGCGAGGGTGGACAGAGTCACTCTCAGAATAAATGGCTTTGGTGAGGAGGAATGGTCCCAGGACACGCTCTGGCAGTTTGACGCCAGCTACTGTGGAGCGAGGACTGGGCACAGCATGTGGACTCAGTGACACCGGTTGATAAAAAGCACCTGACAAAATGGAACCCTCAGAAATGCACGTGAAAAATGATAGTCATTTCAAAAAACGTGAAAAGAAGTGCTTGTGTGTAGGGGTTGTATTATTTTTTCAAGCTGCGAACTCATCCCACTTTGCAGTTTTACATTTTATTTCACCTACACAGAAGGAAAGTCCGTTTGTGTTCCCCAGGGGGCAGAGTGGGGTTGGCTCTTGAGAGCTGGCATCAGAGTTGGGACGGGAAGCAGCATCTCAGAGAAAGAATGGACCACTGCAACTAGACCTGGACCTGGGCGATTTAAGACATCATCCAGCACCCAGAATTTGTAGGGTGGATACACTGGGGTACTGTACTCAGATCACAAATACCCTATGAGTTTCATTTTAAATGGTTAGGACTCCAAAAATACCAGCTTAACACTTGGAATTTGCATATTTGTAGCATATTGTGAAAGGAGGGAAGAAGAACATTCCAAAGGGTCCTGGCATCAGAACCATGATTGGAAGAGATGAAGACTTTCCAGTGCTCAGTCAGGACGGGAGTTGTGGGGGGGGGGGGGGGGGGGGGGGGGGGGGGGGGGCGGCCCCCCCCCCGGGGGCTGAGGGGTGGCGGGGAGGCTTCCCAC